GTATCGGGCTCTCTGCTCAGTGGGGAGCCCGATACGGGGCTCGATCCCAGGACCCTGGGATCATGACCTGAGCTGAAGGCAGAGGCTTTAACCCACTGAGCCACCCAGGTGCCCCTGTTTTCTTTTTTTTTAAGATTTTATTTATTTATTCATTTGTCAGAAAGAGAGAGAGAGAGAGCACACAAGCAGGCAGAAAGGCAGAGAGAGAAGCAGGCTCCCTGCTGAGCAAGGAGCCCAATGTGGGACTCAATCCCAAGACCCTGGGATCATGACCCAAGCTGAAGGCAGGGGCTCAACCCACTGAGCCACCCAGGCGTTCCATTGTTTTCTTGAAAAAAAAAAAAAAAAAAAAGTTTTTCCATTTGCCTTGTCTCTTGGTTTTACTTTTTCATTTTTTTTTTAATTTTATGTCAAAGATATTCCTTGGTTCCTTTATTGCCCTCACACTTAAGAATGAACTATTAATCAGTTCATTGGAGACCTTGATGGTATGGAAGCTCTTTGATTTACTTTATTGTAGGCAAGTTTTTAAAGACTTATTTTATTCTAATTAAAAAAAATGTTTAGCGGCACCTGGAAGGCTCAGTTGTTAAGCATCCGCCTTTGGCTCAGGTCCTGATCTCAGGGTCCTGGGATTGAGCCCTGTGTCTGGCTCCCTGCTCAGCGGGAAGCCTACTTTTCCTTCTCCTCCTGCTGTTCCCCTTACTGTCCTCTCTCTCTCTCTGTCAAATAAATAAATAAAATCTTTAAAAAAATAAAAACTGTTTAATTGTGGTAAAATACACATAAAATTTACCAGCTTAACCATTTTTAAGTGTATAGCTCAGTAGTATTAATATATGCACATTGTTGTGCAACTAATCTCCAGAACTCTTTTCCTCTTGCAAAACTGAAATTCAATGTCCATTAAATAACAACTCTCCATTTCCTGTTTCCCCTAGCCCCTAATACTCTTAATACTTTTCTTTTCTTTTCTTTTTAATATTTTATTTATTTATTTGACACAGAGAGAGAGATCACAAGTAGGCAGAGAGGCAGGCAGAGAGAGAGGGGGAAGCAGGCTCCCCACTGAGCAGAGAGCCTGATACGGGGCTTGATCCCTGAGATCATGACCTGAGCCAAAGGCAGAGGCTTAACCCACTGAGTCACCCAGGCGCCCCCTCTTAATACTTTTCATCTTTATTAATTTGACTACTTTAGGTATCTCCCATAAGCAGAATTGTACAGTGGGTGTTTTTTTTTTTTTTTTTTGTTGCAGGCTTAATTCACTTAGCATAATGTCCTTAAATTTCGTCATATTGTACCAGGTGTCAGAATTTACTTCCTTTTTAAGGCTGAATCATATTCCATTGTATGTATTTACCACTTTTTGCTTATCCACTTATCTGTTAATGGACATTGGGGTGCTTTCTCCTTTTGGCTATCATGCATAATGTTGCTATGAACATGGGTATATAAATATCTCTTTAAGGGGCACCTGGGTGGCTCAGTCATTAAGCGTCTGCCTTAGGCTCAGGTCATGATCCCAGGATCCTGGGATCAAGCCCCACATTGGGCTTCCTGCTCAGTGGGAAACCTGCTTCTCTTTCTCCCACTCCCCTGCTTGTGTTCCTGCCCTCGCTCGCTCTATCAAATAAATAAATGAAATCTTAAAAAAATATATCTCTTTAAGACTATGCTCTCAATTCTTTTGAGTATATACCTGGAAGGAAAATTGCTGGATCAAATAGTAATTCCATTTTTAATTTTTTTGAAGAACCATTATGTGGTTTTCCATAGTGTTTGCCCCATTTTACATTCCTACCAAAAGGGCTCAAAGGTTCCAATTTTTCTATATCCTAATCAAGACTCTAAAATTACTATTAGCCATCCTAATGGGTGTAGGCAAGCTGTTTTATGTGTATAATTTTGGACCCTGCTTTTTCCACAGAAAAAGATCTTGGACAATTTTTGCATGTCAATGGACATTTAAACATGTTTTTTAATGGCCATGTTATTATTATTTTTTAAGGATTTTATTTACTTATTTGAGAGAGAGAGAGAGAGAGAGAGAGAACATGAGTGGGTTAGGGGCAAAGGGGCAGAGAGAGAGAGGCAGAGGAAGAAGGAGAAGCAGTCTACTTACTAAGCAGGGAGCCCGGTGTGGGGCTTCATCCCAGGACCCAGGGATCATGATCTGAGCTGAAGGCAAGAGCTTATCTAGCTGAGCCACCCAGGTGGCCCTCATGGCTGTATTATTTAACAGATCCCATAATGTGGTATTTTAATTTGTTTCCAGTACTTTTTAGGGTAGAAATCTTTGTGTGTATCCCTGATATTTTCTTTAGCTGATAAGGTCCTAGAGGTTGAATTCCTGGGTCAGAATATATAT